ATGACATAGAAGACATATATGATTTCTTAGGGATCGACGTCATCCTTTGGATCATCATCATCCATGTCTTCTTTCGTGTAATATTATTCTTTAAATATAATGCATTTATTGTTTCTTAGATATAATAGTTTTATTGTATTTAAAAAATAATGATTTTATTATTTCTAAGGAATAATGCATTTATCGTTCATTTAGATTGATATATTATTATTTTAATGAACTGAACTTTCAGATTAAACTGATTTGCTAAAATAATATCAAATATATTATTTTTTTGATATTGATTTAATATACTATTTAAGTTTATTTCTGATATATTTAAGAATATTTATATAAATAAGCTTAATTTTTTAATTTTTTAAAAAATAATTTCAATTCAAACTTTATCTCTTACAATTATTTTCAAATTTTTTCTTTTTACATTCTATTAAAACTCTAAAAAAAATCATCCCAAGAACAAAAAGACCTTAAGTTGAATTTTAGTCAATTTTCACCTTCAACTATCAAAATCAGATAACGAAAAAGCTGTATTTTAGTCAACTTTTCAAAAAATAAACTGATTTTTTTTTACCTTTTATAATAAAAATATGCCTTCAACTATTAAATCAAATGAAACTTAAATTGAATTTTAGTCAATTTTTCTGATTTTTTTTACTTTTTATAATAGAAATATACCTCTAACTATCAAAATCAAACAAAACTTTAGTTGAATTTTATTAATCAATCAGTTAACTTTTCAAGTAATAAGCTAATTTTTTTATTTTTAAAATTAAAAAAGTTAATTTCAAATGATTTAGTGAGAAAGAATAGATTTTTATTTTTTATTATTTTATTTATTATTTTGAAGAATTTTTAGAAGAAAAATAAATTATATTTTATTAATTTATTCTTTTTTTTTCAAAAATGACAATATTATAATAATAAATATTTAGGACAATTTAAGGTAATTTTAGAAGGAAAATAGATTATATTTTTATTATTTACATAGATTTCCATTTTTTATTTATATTTTTTAAATAGGAAATTAATCAGTAGATTTTGATAATATTTATATTATATTTTTGCAAATTATATTAGATTTTTATTATTAATAAAATTTTAATATTTAATAAATTTAATAAATAAAATATATTGATTTTATATGCTTATTTAACCAAATTAATACTAAATTAAAGTCAATTTTAAGCTGATTTATAGTTATTTAAATTCCAAATTGATGTGAATGATATTGTATTAAGGCCAATTTTAAGCTGATTTATGATTATTTAAGTTCTGAATTAATGCTGAAATAATGTCAAATTGAGGTCAATTTTAGGCTAATTTATGATTATTTAAGTTCTGAATTAATGCTGAATGATGTTGAATTAAGATCAATTTTAGGCTGATTTATAAATGAATTTAAATTTCAAATTGATGCTAAATGACTATGTCTAATTAGGATCGATAAGCGTATATCAACACCTATTTATGGCAATTAAAAAAACTAGTAAATCAACCATAAATAGTATTAAAATTAGCCTAAAATCAATCATTTGATTTATAGCTAATTTGGACTATTTTAATTAGTGATAAAATTTATTGACAAAAGAGAACTGGTGAAGCTTATTATGATCATTATTATATTTTTTAATTTTAAGATACTGAAGTAGTATTTAATCCTAAAATTTATAAAAAGTATTAAATTAAAATATTAATAAATAAAAATTATTAAATTAAAAAAATTTATTTATTTATAATAGTTTTTTAAAATAATAAAGTTATAATATTAAATAAAAAAAATTTATCAAATAAAAAATATTATTTTTATAAATTTATAAATTATAATATTTATTTCTTAATATATAATATATATTAAAACTTTTAATTTTATTGTAAATATTCTTATACCATAATATTATATTTAAAAGAAGTTATTATTTTTATTATTATTGATAATTATATTTTTGCAAATTATATTAGATTTTTATTATTAATAAAATTTTAATATTTAATTAAATTTATTTTATATTTAAAAACCTTTAATTTTATAAGTTTTTTTTTAATAAGAAATTAATATAGTATTTTCATTTTTATAAAATTTAAAATAATTTTACTTTTTTTATTAAATTTTACATTATTTAATTTTAATATATTTTTTTATGTTTTATTTTTATATTTTTAAATGATTTATAAATTACTAGATTTTATTTAACAATATTAATTATAATATAAATTATATTAAAATTATAAAATTTTATATTAAATATATTTAACTAACTTATTTAATTTTTTAATTCTATTTAATAATAATAATAAACTTATAATAAATTCAAATAATTAATAAAATATATTTTTTTAAAAAATATTTGTAAATAGTTTTTAATAAATAAATATAATAAAAAAAAAAACCGAAAAATATTAAATTTATTATATTTATTTTAGGAAAATATAAAATATAATATTTTTAATTTAATTAAAAATTAAAATTATTAAATATATTTATATTTAAATTAATAAATTTAATTAATAATTTAAAAATCTTATTAATTTAGAAAAATATTAAAAATTTTTTTTCGAGAACTGCGAAAATATCACATGATGCTTCCGTGATATATTATGACGTCTCTATATGACACAAGCTTAATCATCTCTCCGATGTTTTATAAATTCTCTCATGAATAATCATTTCTCTAACTTAAAACAACAATAATAACTTTTACTATTCAAAACAAATTGTGACGTTTTTTTTGCCCCAAGTAATCCAGGTAATAAAATGAACACAGCATCGTCTCTGATATGAGATGAATATTTTTATTGAACTTATTTTTACTGTGCTACCCTTTACATTGTCATACGGCGTGATAATTAACAACCCCAAAAAATTTTGAATCTAAAATCGCGGTGGTTTGCCGACTTTTTTTTTTTTATTAAAGGGACTTTCTAAAACTTGTGTCCGTGAACTTTATTAAAAATTTCCTTTTAATTTTTCTTCTGATATCAATTAGTATAAAAGTGTTGCGTTGAACAAGAATGAATATTAAACATTTTCGTATCTAATTAATGAGAATTTATAAAATTTAAAATTTGTTTTTGGAAATAATAAAAATAAAAACTACACAGTATGAAAAAGCTTAGTATTATACCCCTAGCGTTATTTGGACTCGTAATATGGTGTTCTTTCGCTATATCTACCGGTTTAGCGGATTATATTCACCAAGAAGGTTATTGCGTTATGCGCGGTCAGTGTGGTTCCAAAAGCTTTTTTGGAAAACAACTGAACTGTCCTTATAATAAACCGGCCGTTGAGGTAAATAAATTGACTCCTTATTTTATTGTGTGACCGAACAAAGTTTATCAAAAAAGATTTTCGCTCATAACTACAAAATAATAGATGTTTCAACAACTTTAGATTTATGATTCTAGTATACTAAATTTTAATAAATACACTTCGAATAATTTATATATACTATATTTCTTTCACAAATTAATTCTCTTTTAGCCCGATGAAGCCTTAAGGTCGAAACTTATCCAAATTTGTGGTTCACAATTCAGAAATGTTCCGACTTGTTGTGATTCTAAACAATTAGACGATCTCAGCGAAAGTACTAAACAACTCGAGACATTGACCAGCACTTGTCCTGCATGCTGGAAAAATTTTTTAAATTTTTTTTGTACGTTAGCATGTTCTCCAAACCAATCTACGTTCTTAAATGTAACATCCACAGGAATTTCATCCAGAAATTTACCAATCGTGACGAGTGTTGATTTTTTCGTAGGTGAAACCCATGGAAAAGGATTTTATGATTCTTGTAAAGACATAAAATTTGCTGCTACAAATGGTTACGTAATGGATTTTATTGGTGGTGGAGCTAAAAACTATCATGACATGTTGGTGTATCTAGGACAGGAGAGACCAATCGGGTCTCCTTTCCAAATCGATTTTCCACTCAATGATACATCAAATATTATGTTACCATATAACGATCCACCGAAACGATGCAATGACACTGATATAAATTATCGGTGTTCATGTGTGGATTGTCAATCGGTCTGCCCCTCATTAGAACCAACCCCGGAGGAGAAAGCTTCGTGTTATGTCGGCTCTTTGACTTGTTGGGCGTTTGGAATTTACCTATCTTATGGTATTCTATTATTTGTCGCAATTGTATTTTTCGTGAACTTTTATAATAGTCAAAAGTTGGACAGAGAAGGATTTGAACGCGTCGCACTTACTGATGATGATGAAGACACCTTATTAAATCCGGAACGTTCATTGCGACGCTACGCTCTGAATGCACTTTTACAGGATTATTTTTATCAACAAGGGTATATATGCGCTAAATACCCTTGGCAAACAATAGGTGTTGCTGCGCTAATAGTGAGCTTTGCGACATTGGGTTGTTCAAAATTTGAAGTGGAAACTGATCCTGTAAGGCTTTGGGTTGCACCGAATTCTGATTCTGCGATACAAAAAGAAATCTTTGATCAAAATTTCGGTCCATTTTATCGAACTCAACAAATTTTTATTAGTAACAAAAACTCTAATCAAAGTGTTGTGAATTATGATAATTTAAAGAATTTATTCATTATTGAACGCGAAATTCGAGAAATAAAATCTCCACATACTTTGCAAGATTTATGTTTTCATCCGAATGGAGATGCATGTATCGTTCAATCTGTTGCAGGATATTGGCAATCAGATTTAGATAATTTTTCAGAAGAAACTTGGAGAGAAGAATTCATATCATGTACATCTGCACCAACCTTCTGTTTACCGGATTTCCAGCAACCGTTAAAACCAGACATGGTTCTTGGTGGTTTTGAGAATGATGAATACATAAATGCCAAAGCTTTAGTTCTTACTTTTGTTTTGAACAATTCATTAAATCAAAGTGAGATTGATGCATCCCAAGAATGGGAAAAATCCTTGAGAGAATATTTAAATAAATTAAAATACAACGAAAATGATAAAGTTAACACTTCACAGCTTCATATATCTTACTCAACTGAGGTAGGTCAATTATCGTAAAGCATCACGTTTTATTTATTTGATCTTAACGAAAGCACGAATAATCTTTTCCATTTCCTTTGTAGAGTTCTCTCGAAATAGAATTAAACAAATCGACAAATACCGATATCTACACTATTGCATTATCGTATTTGGTCATGTTTGTTTACGCGTCATTTGCTTTAGGAAGTTTTACATCCTTTCAACGCATATTTATTGATTCAAAATTTTTGCTCGGTATTAGCGGAATTATTATAGTTTTAGCATCAGTTTCAACATCTGTAGGAATTTTCTCTCTCCTTGGAATTAAAGTTACTTTGATTATAGCTGAAGTAATTCCATTCCTTGTGCTTGCGGTTGGAGTAGATAATATTTTCATATTGAATCACGAATTTGAAAGGCTTACATTGAAATCATTTGGTGAAGAGTCAGTTGAAGAACGTATTGCGAAAACTTTAGGACGCATGGGACCCAGCATTTTGTTGAGTGCATTAAGTGAAACAATTGCATTTGGTTTAGGAGGAATTGTGACCATGCCGGCCGTAAGAAATTTTGCACTTTATGCTGCATTGGCTGTTTGGGTGGATTTCTCGTTACAGGTGACCGCGTTCGTAGCATTCTTGTCTTTGGATGCTAAAAGGCAAGAAGATGATAGAATTGATTGTTTTCCTTGTGTTAAAGTTGGAGCTCCTGAACGTATTGATAAAGAAGGGTTATTGCAAAAATGGATGAGAAAATATTACGCACCTTTTATATTAAACAAAAAAGTCCGAATAGCTGTTATTGTTTTCTTTATCAGCGCGTTTATGTTCTCTTTAGGTTTGGTGCCTCAAATAGAATTAGGATTAGGTAGGTATTAGATCTTTGTAGTTGGTATACTTTCGGTAAATTTCATGATTTTTTCATGAATTTTTTTTTTTTTATAGATCAAAGAATAGCTATTCCGTCTGATTCATATTTAGTAGAGTATTTTAACGATTTGGACGATTATTTCCGAATTGGTCCTCCAGTTTATTTTGTCGCTCAAGGTCTTAATATAACAACTAAAGAAGGACAGCAAACGTTATGTGGAAGGTTTAGCACTTGTAATCAGTTGTCATTGGCGAATATTCTGGAACAAGAACGTAAACGTTCCCAAGTTTCATACATTGCTGAGCCAACGTCAGTATGGATCGATGATTTCTTACATTGGTTAAACCCTTCATTAGAAATGTGTTGCAGATTTAAAAAAGGAACCGATCAAAAAGAACTATGTAATGGGGATGATGATGAAGAAGATTGTGAAGTTTGTTTTAAAGATCGAGAACCACATTGGAACATAACAATGTCAGGAATGCCACAAGGAGAAGAGTTTCTGAAATATTTAGATTTATGGTTAAAATCCTCTCCAGATGAATTTTGTCCTTTAGCAGGTAAAGCGGCGTATGCAGATGCAATTGTAAATGATTCAGAAAAAATTACGATTATTGCGAGTCATTTTCGTACATTTCATACGGCATTAAAAAGTCAAAAAGATTATATCGCAGCATACCATTCAGCTCATAGGATATGTGAACTCATTAATAAAGAAAACCCTTCGGTTCAAGTATTTCCATATTCAATATTTTACATATTTTTCGAACAATACGAACACATAGTAGGTTTAGCAGTAGAAATATTTATTTTGGCGTTTATTTCAATATGGTTCGTTACCACTTTATTACTTGGAAGTATATGGACAGGTTTTATTATAGTATGTCATGTTATAATGATTATTACAGATGTGTTGGGAATAATGTCATTATGGAAGGTTTCGTTAAATGCGGTTAGTTTAGTTAATTTAGTAATATGTGTTGGGATCGGTGTAGAATTTTGTGTACATATAGCTAGAGCATTTGTTGTAGGTGGTGAAGGGGTTGATAGAGATGAAAGAGCGTATAGATCAATAATTGATGTGGGAAGTTCAGTATTTTCTGGAATTACATTAACTAAATTTTGGGGAATTTTAGTATTAGCATTCACAAGAAGTAAAATATTTGAAGTTTATTATTTTAGAATGTATGTGTCAATGGTAGTATCGGGTGCGCTTCACGGCTTGGTGTTGTTACCCGTTTTATTAAGTTTAATTGGTAGTGAAGGTGTGGGTAGTGGCGAAGATTTTGATTACGATATATTTGACGATGAAGAAATGTTTGGTGGTAGGCCTATTAGAAGGGCTGATAATAGAATGTTGGTCGATGATGGTGGTATTGAAAGTGGCGAAAGTGATGCTGATGAATTGTAAGTGAATGATTATAAAGTTGTATTTTTTCTAGAAATGTACGATTATGTTGGTATTTTTTTTTTTTTTTTTTTTTTTTTTTTTTAATATATATTTCCACTTAAGAAAGTATTTATATTCTATCGCTTTCTTTTAATTGTTCTAAGTAAAAAAATTTTTTAATAAAATTTTGGAAAGTTTGAAAAGATTTGAATGTTTGATCAAATCATTATCATATACTATAAATAATAATTTAGGTAATGCCCAAAGAAAGCAGGATCAACTTCAAATAAAGTAAGATCAATTCCTAGTAGTGCATAATTAGTTACAAGCAGATCGTTGAGTATTGCGTCAAGAATTGTAAACTATTAATCTAAACTAGGTAAATAGAATGTAAACTATTATTACGAGAAAACAAACTTGCATTAGAGATTGCTACATGAAAAGTTTAGTTTTCAGTTGATAATCAGGCAAAAAAACCAAAATATTTTGATTTACAAAAGGCAATTTTAACGTTTCAGAATATTCTTTTTAATATAAAACACATAGGAATAGTAAGGTATATACTACCAAGGTTTAGTAAAAATTACAATGAAGATATAAAATATTCATCAATTAGAAGGAATTTAACTGCTTCTGAAAATAATTTGATAAATAATACAGATAAAATTAGTGCATTAGGTTTTTTAATTTGTATTCAAAAGGAAAAGTAAGTGAATAGCTAAAAAGAAAGATTACAGAAAAAAATTAAAAATTCTCTAATATTCTTTCTATTGTAATCATACTTTGATATAATTATAATGTGATGGGTAAGAATAAATCAAAAGATATTTATCACTATTACATCAGCTAAATTATAAGTACAATTTGTAATAATTGACGCTGATATTAGTTTTTTTTTGACTTTTAACAATATGGTATTGTCACAAGTTTTATTAACTAAATTTATAGTTATAATTGTATTAAGGGTAGAGTCATTCTCATATTGAATTTTTAATATAATAAATGTCTATTATTTCACAGTTCTAAAAACTTGGATTTGTTTATCAATTCAAATATGAGTTGACACGTGATCAGCACAAATAAAAAATAATTGGCTTGGCTAAATAAATTACCGATATATCTGATATATCTGATATACATATCATGACTAAATTATTTTTTTTACCTTTGTGTATGCTAAAGAATACCATATATTTGAATTTAAATGGCGGCAAAAGGCAAAAAGAAAGAAAAGTAATATATAAGATTACTTATTTAATAAAAAATTTTTGACTGTTTTATAATATTTTTTTTTTATTTTCAAATTATTTTAGAATTCCAGATTGGATACAATTTATGCAAAATCATAATTGTACTTTAAAAAGATTTAAAAGAGCAAATAGTGAATATATACTTTGTGATACGTTCAAACTACTCAAAGTTCTTACAATTCATTCAGAACTATGAACAAATAAGGATTATTCCTTCAATCCATATTATTATGCTATTACAAAAAGAAAAATATATCAGCTTCTCCGTAGGTTCCTATACTTCCATGGCTATTGTGTAATTGGAAAGTTTAGAGGTCAATATGTATGTTTAGAAATTCAAAATAATAATGAAGAACATCTTGTATATAATTGAAAATTTTATGAAGATATGACAATGTCACAAATGATACATTGTGAAACAAATTCAGATTTTTTTGCAAGTATGAAAAAATATATAAAGGTATCAAAATAATATCTATTCCTGATATTCTTAAATTGCGTAATCCTAATATTATTTATAATTTATAAGCTAGAATTAATTCAATTTATCCAAACATTTTTGATACTCTTCCTATATTAACCAAAACTCAAAATAAAATCACAAAATTAACTACTATCATGCAAAAAAGGGTGAAAAACTACTAAATTCTTCATCAGTGATCTCTTAATCATCAATAATTTATCAAGGTATTGAAATCAAAGAACTGGGTATGCATTTATTTCCAAAAGTAATTTTAACACTTGCAGTTGAATATGAATCATTGAAAAAAATAGGTGATGCGTCACGTAAACAAATCAAGTGAGCTGAAACCAACAATATATATATTAAAAACTTGAAATATAAGTTACATGAAAAAAAAAAATCAAGAATTTTTAAACAATTGGATGCAAAAAACTATAGAAGAAACAAATATTAGATCTACGATTCTTGTTGATACTAAACAGTATCTTACTAATATATATACTCAACCTTATTTAACATATTATAATCGTGATCTTTCTAAAAAAAACTGAAAGTTTGTAGAATTGATTATAATCTTCAAATTAAAATTAAATGCAAAATATGCCAAGAAATTGCAGAATATAATAATGAATCACCTAATGCACAATTCTCTTCTCTTGTATCAGATGCAAGACTTGTTGATGATGTTAATAGGCAATAACTTCAAACTATATTTTTTATGATAGGCATTACAGCACAATCATCAAAAGGATATTACCATAATAAATAAAATGAATACTTGGAAAATATAATTAATGAAGCTGAAACAAGTGCAAAAATTGCTTTGGTTAAAGCTATTACACAAATTAAAGCAAAAAGTGAAAGAATATTACCTATTAGTTTTGACTGTTTCTAATCGTATTATCAAAATGCAAATCAGGCTAGTGATGAACTAATATTTCAAGAATGTCTTGAAGGTAGAAATAAGATTTTTTAGTTAATAAAAAAAGTAGAATTTAAAATGGAATTTTATTTTACAAATAAGATATGATCATAAACCTACTATTATTACTTATGTAACTGCGGAAAAATCACGCAAAGTAAAGAGAAAGGATGGCCAAGAATATGAGATTTTTTATGGAAATCACGAAAAGACATTATGGCAAATGGAGCATACAATATTATTACAAATTATTGAAAAATTGTGTCTGTATTAAAAGCGGCTAAAGTACTTTTGAATATAGGAGTTGATGGTAATCTAAACTCAAACAAGACTTTAAATAATATTCCATGTATAAATAAAGTATATGCAGATTTAAAACATATCAGCAAAAATATTAGAGCAAAAATCGGTAAGTTGTTAAAAGTAAAGGTTAAGTTTTAAAACTACTAAATCTATTAAAATTTTAATACTTTTAGATTATTTATTATTTGTAATTTTGAAATTTTAAGAGGACTATAAGCTAAATGTTATTTTAATTATATCTTTAATAAAATAAGTTTTGTAATAACTTATTATAAAATAAAGTTTTTTTAAATAAATTAAATTAAAAAATATAATAAACTATTAAAAAATTTGTAATTATTATTATAAAATAAAGCTTTTTTAAATAAATAATTTAATAAATAAATTAAAAAATATAATAAACAATTAAAAGATTTATAATTACTTATTATAAATAAAGCTTTTATAAATAAATTAAATTAAAAAATAAAATAAATGATTAAAAAATTTGTAGTTTTAATTATAAAATTTGATTCTAATTTTCGTTTGATCTAAAATGATAGTCAAAAATTCTATGTGAAAAGATTATGAAAATATAATCATGACCTATTATAATTCATGTATATATGCAGCAAGTAGATGAAAACTTGATGAGAATAAAATTACCATATCAGATGCTGAATTAGAAAAAGTACATATTGACGGACTTGTCGTTTACCTTTCAGATGATCATAGTCTTTGTTGGGATAAAGTATGCTGGAGAAAAGAAAATCCTGACGTTCAATTAAATGTATCACATTTAAAGAAATATACAACTAATAAAAGGGAAAATTTTCGCAAATTTCTCAAAGAATGCTTCTATATACCTACAAAATAGAGTTTGATTATACATATCAGAATATTATATAATGAAGCATTCAATCAAGTTAAACTGTGCTTTTTGGATAAAAAAATTGATTATTAGAAAACTTACTATACACGTTATGTTTTTGCTATTCTTCAATATAATAATGGATTATTAAATATGCTGGAAATTACCTGATCAGCTTGTAATCTTAAAAAATTTTCTGAAATAAACAAGAAAAATATTTATAAGATTGCTGAAGAACAAGAAAAACAAAATCAAAGAAATTTTAATACTATTGATTAGCGAAATAAAAAATGTGAAAAAAAAATTTAAGAACAAAAAAGTAGCTTGAAAATATTTAATTAGAATAAGGTAAGTATAAAATAATTTAAAATTGATTAAGTAAATGAATAATATTAATAATATCCTACTTTTTTAGGATTTCATACCTTATAGGCGTAGTATACAAGAAAAAATCAAAGCTAAAGAATTTGAACCTACATTTGCCAAATACATACTTAACTTTGAAAAAATTTAAAAATACATGGCTTGTGAAGCTTTCTAAAGTATTTTCTGTCAGGATTATGCAGATACCATGATTTTTGTCTTAAATTCAGATTGCATCAGGAATTTCCAAATAAGTAATATATACCATCTTTACAAAACTCAGAAATAAATCTGTCTATCTTATATAATGTACTTTTGAATGTATTTAGATACCAAGAGTTTCGAGATGTATAAGAGGTGACAATATTAGCATATATTAGTAGAAAATATACTTTTATTTCAATATGTACAGGTGTAGAAAAACAATATATTATTAGATTTTTGCAATTCTGCGTGAAGGTTTAACTATTATAATAAGCCCATTAGTATTTTTAATTAATGACCAAGTGGTAAGTTAAGAGTGATAATTATTTAAATAAAAGAATTATAATTAACCATTACCTGATTTTTATAGATTAAAACAATTGCTGCTTGAATTAGATGCGTTAACATTTATGCGAAAAAGCATCAACCTTCACAATATTTTGAAAAGGTCTTTTCTGAGATCACTATTAGACTAATTAAACTTTTATATATAATCGCAAAAAGCTTTATTTGCAATAAATCTTTTACCATAATGCTCCTAATTTTGCCAAATATGCATCTGTATCTTTTGTAATAGATGAAGTACATTGTATTGTAGAATATAACTATTTTAGGTAAGCATTTAATTCAGTTTGAAATTAAAACACTTTTAATATATTAATAATT